ATGGTGCAATCTCAGCTCACTGCAACCTCTGCCTCCCGGGCTCAAGAGATTCTCCTGCCTCAGCCTCCCAAGTAGCTGGGATTACACGCACTCGCCACCATGCCCGGCTAATTTTTTTTTTGTATTTTTTAGTAGAGACAGGGTTTCACTACGTTGGCCAGGCTGGTCTTGAACACCTGACCTCAGGTGATCCACTCGCCTTGGCCTCCCAAAGTGCTGAAATTACAGGCGTGAGCCACCACGCCCGGCCCACATTTATTAACTCATTTTATCTAAAAGTAGGTGTGGCAGCTCAGTGACTTGTCCTGTGAAAGAAGTCAATGGCAAGGCCAGGGATTGAAACTGGTGTTTTGACTCCCCATCCAGCAGTCGGTGGAACAGGGTGGTGGTTGGAAGGAGCAAGTGGTGGGATTATTTGGCATCTCTGAATGAGGCAGCAGAGAGAATCAAGCTGAAACCCCAAGAGATAGCCTGCAGGATGCCTGGCCGTGGCCCTCCAGTTCCCCTAAAAGTTCTGGAACTGAAAGAACAATTAATTGCGACATTGAACTGGGACTCAATTTTCCTAAGAGAAAACTTGATAATTTCTAAAAGTCTCATCTATCTTTGACAATTCCAGAAATCTCTGAATATAAACCAGGCTCTATCCCCCTCACTCCCCTTTCCAACCTAACTAGAAAATGTGGGTGGGTTGAGAAAGAACAGAAAAGAAAGATCAAAACTGTGACAGCCTTCTGACAACATTTTAACTTGAAAATTGCCTCCAAATGGATGGCATAATTCAGTGTAGGCAGATGAAAATCAGGCGCAGATTTACTCAGCCCCTCCTTGTTCTTATTTCCTGACCAACAGGTTGAAGAGATGGGGCCCTGGAGCTGACCGCGGGCCTTTGATAGGCCAGCTTGGCATGGCCCCCTCTGTGAAGCCCATCCTGGCTGCCCGCTAGGGTGTGGCTTTCACCTCCTCTGAAAGCCTGTGTGTCCCTCACAGGCTTATTCCCTCTGTCAGGCTTATTCTCCCCGTTGGGCTTGTTCTCCTTAGTCAGTGGTTAGCTCCCTGCATCCTGCCCCTGGCTCAGTGTGCATCATCAAGGGCTCATTAAGTGGTTGGGAGAGGGACAGAGAGCCAGGAGATAGGGCTCAGGTCCTAACCAGCACGATCCGAGGGCTTAGCTGGTTGTTAGGTGAGAGTCCAGATGGCTAATTTGACAAAGAGTCACTCCTCTCCTCCCCAAAACAGAAACACTTCCTTGGACAAGGCAAAGAAGCGTAGATGGGTCCATGCAAAACCTTCCCCACCTCCCTCAGAGGACCCTGGGTAGGCTACCCCTGTCACCTGCCCAGCCTCATGCTGACTCCCTGGCCTGGCCTTTCTCCTAGTCCTCCCTCCAAGCCTGACTAATGGGAAGCAGAGGGAATTGTCAGGAAGCTCTGCTAAGCTGCTCTTTCTCCTCTGGAAAAAGGGTTGAACCAGAGTCTCACAAGGTGCTTCTCATAGCTAGCTTCTGTGTTCTGTGTGTCCATCCCCCTCTTTTAAGGTTGTGTGAGTCATCTGACATTCTCCTGCCCCCTCCCTTGGCTCTGCAGCCTGACAGAGGCTGTCCTAACAATGACAGTAACTGCTAATGATGAGTGACAGCAGCAATGAGGGGCACCTTGGGAGAGAGGGGGGATGGGTGTGGGGAGGAGGGGAAGGTGGTAACCTTGCACACTGAGCAGTAAGGGTCAGGGAGGGAGCCACTTGCCTCACAGCACACCTGGGTCTTCCTAAGTTCTGTACCCTCTAAAGTAACTTCTCCCACCAGCAGAGGGGCATTGCTTAGCATGCTCAGAAAACAGTTGTCCGGCACCAGAGCTCAGGGGAGGGTGTCCAACTGGCAAGAGCCCGTAGCAGCAGCCATGTGGGGGAGCAGCACAACATCGCACGACAGCAGCAGCATCCCAGGCACAGAGTGCTGGCCTCACCCACCTTCCCTGCGGCCCCAGGAGCAGGGGTGGGCTGGCAGAGCCCTTCCCACATGCTGAGCAGTTGGATTCCCCTGGGTTCTTATTTCCCCACCACAGTTGAAAAGACCAGTTTCCCATTTCTGGGATACCGAGTCCCAGAAGATGCAGGGGACATCAGCAGCTCATTTCCTCACAGTACCCAGGTGGCCCCTCTTTCCTGCCCTGCTGTGGTTTGCTGTCCCCTAGTCAGTGCACAGAACTGTGGCCCCTACCCAGCTCCCTGAGCCCCCGGGTGATGCCTCCCAGAGGATAGGGCCTTAATCCAACCCGATTAAGGTAGGGTTTCAGGAGGGGTGGTTAGAGGAGGAGGGTGAAAGGGAGCCCTCCAGCAGGCTTGTTTCTTGTGAGGGCCAGTGATGAGCCGAGACCCAGCTTGAGCCAGACCCCTGCTCTCAGGCCTCCCAGTGGCCTGGCAACACCCACTGTAGAGAGGGGCTGGGGCCATGGAGAACATGGATCTGTGATGGGACCCATATGCGTGGGACAGGCCTGAATGAAGCATGTTATCCACCCCCAGCCCTTTGGGAAGGGAAGGGAGAGGGTGGAGAGGGGCCCTTCGACAGAGCTGCAGGGCTTGGAGCAGCCCAGGCCACAGCTCCTGGCAGCCTGGCCCAGGGCAGTGTGGACCAGGACATAGCCTGTACCCCATGGCACTGGGCTGTTGCTCATGCCCTTCGCCAGTCTTCTCGTCTCCCTCATGCTGCTGCTGTGGGCACTTATTCCTGTTGAGGTGGGCTCTGCCCACTAGCATGTTTATATGTGCACACATGTATTCTCTTACTGTCTGAGGAATAATGCCTGCATATGTTCAGGTCTGTGCCCACGTGCTTACACTCAGGCCTGCTGAAGGTGGGAACCAACATGGGGTGGGTGTGGACATGGGACCCTAAGCTCCTAAGGACATGAGGAGGCCTGTGCTCTACCACTAGGCAGGAGCTGGCCCTGGGAGGACTAGGGCCCATTTGTACCTAGAAGCTTTTGCTGAGCCCCTGGCCCTGTTCTCCCAGCCCCAAAGCCTACACCCATCTAGCTCAGTACTCAAAGCCTGGTTCCCAAGGTCTCAGAAAAGGCTGGAGAGACGAGGTTTCATTCTTCCCTACCTTTGTGGTTCTCTTTCTGGCCTCTTCCCACCAATTGCTCATGAGGACTGGGAGCTGCTGTGTTCTTGGTCTTCTCAGGCACACCCCAGCCACTGTTCCACCCTCAGCCCACAGCCAGTGCAGATCCTAGGAGGGAGGAAGCTGGTGTGGACAGGGGGTGGACTCAGTGCATTTGTATCAGTGGCTCCTTATAGGTTGTCCTGGCTGTCCATAAGAACCCCCTAGGGAATTACTTGATCTACCCTGGCCAATTAATCCAGTGTCTCTGGGGCAAGGGACTCAGGCTTTGGTGCTGATTGAAGCTTCCTAGGTATTTCTCTTGTGCAGCCAGTCTAGAGGACCTCTGAGGTTATAACAGTGAGATAGCTAAAACAATCCTGTGTTGGTTTTGGGACAGTTTTGCAGGCATCCATATACTAAAAGTGTAAAGAAGTACAATGGAAAGGGCTGGGTGCGGTGGCTCATGCCTGTAATCCCAGCACTTTGGGAGGCCGAGGCAGGTGGATCATGAGGTCAGGAGTTCAAGACCAGCTTGGCCAACATGGTGAAACCCCGTCTCTACTAAAGATACACAAAAAATTAGCCAGGCATGGTGGCATGTGCCTGTAGTCCCAGCTACTCGGGAGCCTGAGGCAGGAGATTCACTTGAACCTGGGAGGCGGAGGTTGCAGTGAGCTGAGATTGTGCCACTGCACTGCACTCCAGCCTGAGCAACAGAGCAAGACCCCGTCTCAAAAAATAAATAAATAAATAAAAGAAGAAGAAGAAGTGCAATGGAAAGAAATGAAATTCAGGAGGTCGGGCGCGGTGGCTCACGCCTGTAAACCCAGCACTTTGGGAGGCCGAGACGGGCGGATCACGAGGTCAGGAGATCGAGACCATCCTGGCTAACATGGTGAAACCCTGTCTCTACTAAAAAAAAAAAAAAAAAAAAAAAAAAAAAAAAAAAGAAGAAATTCAGGAAAGTGGTTGTTTTCAGGCCTAGGAGGCAGGGTAATGATGGGCAGGGGTCAGATCCAACATTGTCATGTTTCAGTTCTTAAGCAGAGTGCTAGGGACATGATGTTTTATACTTTTTGGTTTGGTTCAAATAGTTCATCATAAGTTAATGGAAAAAAAGAACATGGATTTTACAGTCAGATAGACCTGGGTTTTAAGTTCACTTCTGCCACTTACTAGCTGTGTGACCTGGAGCAAGCATGTAACCTCTCTGGGCTTGTTAATCATCTGTAAAACAGGGCTCACAGGGCTATGTGAGGATTACCCTTGACATTCAAACATTCTTTCTGGAAACCCAGAGTGAGTGAGACCAAACCGGGACAATCACAGCTCCCCGCCAACCTCAGGCAGGGGCAGGTTGCTAAATGCCTTCCAGGCCTCAAACTTCTCCATCACAGAAAGATGGCACCACCTCCTCAGGCAGGAGACCCCTGAGGCCGGGGTCAGAGCAAAAACACCCCTTCCTTCTAGGTTTCTTTTGTTAAGAATAGAAGGAGGGGGATTCTAGGGGAAGGCAGTGTATATAGCCCCTGCCCAGATCTGTTTGCAGATACCTCTGTGACCTCTGCTAAAGGGTGGAGCAGGGCAGGGGTAGCAGGTCACAGTTCCGAGAAGGTAACATACAAAGAGATCTTCCCTTAAAGATGTAGGAAGATAAGGAGGGAGGGAGTTGCTGGGGAAAGCCCCTTCTCCCACAGCCTCTGTGGGCCCTCATAGAAATGCAGGTTGGATTGTGGTGCAGCCAGGCAGCCTGTCCCCTCGAGGACAGGAGCCTGGGGAGGGCCCCTGGGGCAGGCAGGGTGTCTGCACATACGCACACACTCTCTCATACACAACACATGCCGGTATGTGTGCACAGGCCTAGCTATGGAGTAGGAAACGAACTCAGACACCATTCTTATTTGGACAAGCTTAAAACACGATGTGGCTCATTTTTATTTTATCTCAGAAAAAAACATTCCCTTTAGAAGGAAAGGCAGTTAGACAAGGCCTCTCACCGGGTAGCTCTGTGCTACTCAGTACATGCCAGTGGCCTGCCAGCCCCAACCTCTCCCCTGGGGCCTGGGCCCATGCTCTGGCACTGCTCTGTTACAACTCCCTGTCCTTGATCCCAGATTTGTCACTCCGAGAGATGGCCCTGGGACTGAGAAGTGGATGGCAGTCGTGACGGCGGGAGAGGACTGCCTGAGGCTCCCGGGCAGAGGCTCTGGTGCCAGGTTTAGCAGCAGGACCGACAGCAGACCCAGCAGCCAGGGAGTGAAAGGTAATAAAATAAAAAGGGTTTCCTCACACTTACATTTTTCCTGGAAAAAAGTCAAATGTCACCTCTGGGCCCAGCAGCTCCTGAACCCTAGGAGAGTCTAGGGAGAGTGGTGTGTGGGTGGCAGGAGGCTGTTGGAGCCACTCCCCAGCCTCAGGGCCAAGCCAGTCTGCTGTGCCCAAGCTGCTCTGTGGAGACAAGGTGGTGCTTCCAGATGCTTCTGCAGTGGAGGGCTGGGCCCTGCCCTGTAAAGATGCTGCTGGTGCTGTGGCCCCCACCTGGTGCAAGGCCTCACAGCATGAAACGTCTGCTTCCTCAGACCCCAAGCCCTTCTTGCTGGGCCTCATGCTGCTCCAGCCTGGGGCTCCCTCCTCTCAGTCCAAAGTAGGAACTGGCTGCCCTCGGGGTCTCCTGGCACTCTCTCTTTTCTCCCAACGTGACTGGTCAAGCCAACCAGAAAGATAAAGATTTCCTTCCCTTAGGAAGGGGCAAACTCCGTGGATCATCAGGACACTCCTGCGCCATCCTGGGCCAGGGGGTCGTCTAGGCCAGGGGGCTCTGGGCACACTCCCTCGAGCTCATGGCTAAGGAGCTCCACATCTGGGAGGCTCATGTTCCCCTGGGACTCTTGGGTACTCCCTCCACTCACCAGCCCCAGGGCATAGCCATTGGGCCTCCGCTCAGGGTGGGGAGCACTGCCGTTGGCCCACACTCCCGGCGGGTGGCCGTTGAGACGGAGGCTGACCTGCTCTCCATCACTGCCATGAGCTGCCAAAACCCGGGCACTGGTGCCAGCTGCCTTGAAAGGTTCTTGCTGCCTCAGGACATGGCTGCGAATGATCTTGCGGAACGTCTGGCGGAACTCGCGGATACGGTAGGCGTAGATGAAGGGATTCACAACCGAATTGGTGTGGGAGAGGACGATGGCCAGGTACATGAGCCAGAGAGGGGCGTGGTTGCAGTCGGGGCAGAAGAAAGTGAAGCAGTTGATGATGTGTAGGGGCAGCCAGCAGAGGGCAAAGAGCCCCACAATGATGGCCAGCGACTTGGCAGCATGAACCTCCTTCTGCAGTGTGGACCGTGCCCGTTCCCCTGGCAGAGGCTGGCTCTCCATCTGCTTCAGCTGTCGTCGTGCCGCCAGGAAGATACGCAAATAGACACCCAGCATGAGCAGCAGGGGCACGAGCACACAAGCAAAGAAGTTGAAGTACACCATGTAGTTCATGGGGACCACATCCTCAAAGAGACAGGCCACCTGGCCCTCCCCGCAGCCCTGGGAGTGGTTCTTGCCCTCCTTTGGCTGACCGCAGTTGTTCCAACCCAGCATGGGAGTCAGGCCGATGGCAAACGACAGCACCCAGCAGATGGCAATGATGCCCTTAGCCCTTGTGCCAGTCACCAAGCCATTGTACCTGGGGAGAAGAGACCAGCATCAGAGATCTGAGAAACCAGGGTTAAGCAGGGCAAGAGTTGAGAACCCCAGAGCAGCACCCTCTTCCCCTTTTCCTGACTATAAGGTCTTGGACCAGTCATTTCCTGCCACCTAGCCCCAGCATCCTCTTCTGTTAAGTGGAAGTAATATGCCTTGCCTTTTTCACAGGCTGCTGGGAGGTAACAGGAGAGCAGGCACCCAAGAAATGGAAACCCATGTACAAACGTCCAGATGGTCATTGAGGAGTTTTTGGAGTAGTCCTGGCACTTAGTTTGGTTGGAGGGAATTAACGCATGATTTTTTGAGGGAGAAAACATTATTTTTCTCTAAAGGGAAATGCGTTGTAGCCTTAACCAAGATCAATCACTTCCATGTTGGTCGCAGCCTTAACCAAGATCAGTCACCTCCATGTTGGTTGATCTTGGTTAAGGCTACGACAGGCTTCTCTTTGGAGAGTGGGAAGGGGTCTGGAGGGTGGCCTCACTGGTTAGGGGCAGTACCAGCCAGATCAGACCTGTAGGGGATCTAGACCTCTTATACTCCATACCCTGTCTTCTCTTCCCCATTTGCCATTTGACTTGGGGTCTCTAGAAGCCCTTGCGAAGAGGCAGCATGGGGGGTAAAAGAGGCGAGGAGGTCCCAGGCCAAAGGAGATGCCATTTCTCCCCTCCAAACCCACCCACAGCCCTCTGGAGAGAAATGAGAGAATTACGTGTTAACATTTACATGGCCATCTTAACATTTGCAAGGAAATACTGAGGTCCAGGGGGACAGGAATCTGCCTGAAATCACTGAGTGAGAGCCAGACAGAAATCCAAGCCTACCGATTCCCAGTCTTATACTTGGGAAATGGCTGGATCTGCCAGCCAGGAAGCAGACCTCAGCCCTGTAGGAAAGGTGGCATAGATTTCATAAAAGAATGGACAAAAAAAAAAAAAAAAAATCCCCTAATTTAGGAAGGCAACCTTGATGATCACTGAGGGATGACTTCTGTTTAACAGTTTTGATTCTGGCAAGACCAGATTACACTCCCCTCTACCTGGCAGAAACCCTACCCATCCTTCAAGTCCAGGATAGAGATCTCAGAGAAGTTTCCTACTGAAGTGCAGCAGATCCCTACCACATCTGGGCCCCTCGGGGGCAGGGCTTTCCTACATCCATCTCTGCATTGTCAGCTCTGAGACAGGGACACTCAGAAGGTGCAAGAAGGCTGGGCGGGGTGGCTCACATCTGTAATGCCAGCACTTTGGGAGGCCAAGGCAGGCAGATCACGAGGTCAGGAGATCGAGACCATCCTGGCTAACATGGTGAAGCCCCATCTCTACTAAAAATACAAAAAATTAGCTGGGCATGGTGGCGGGCACCTGTAGTCCCAGCTACTCGGGAGGCTGAGGCAGGAGAATGGCATGAACCTGGGAGGCGGAGCTTGTAGTGAGCCGAGATCGAGCCACTACACTCCAGCCTGGGCAACAGAGCAAGATTCTGTCTCCAAAAAAAAAAAAAAAGTGCAAGGAAAGATGTGCTCTACTTAACTCTGGAGCTGGGAACATCCACAGAAACCATCTCATCCACGGGTAGTGAACAGGCGCCTACAGGTAGCACACACAGGAGGCAGCTGGTGGGGCATTTACCTGGTCTTCACCGCCATGCAAAATGCGTGCCTGCTGTTACCAGATCTCAGGTGGGGCTGGGGAGATGGTTTTCTGGGTATAATCTCCTAAGATTTAAATTTTGTTAACTTATTCAAATTACAGAGAAAAAGAGAAACCCTGGTGGCTTCTGATCTCTTATGTGGTCCAATCCTCTTGTTTTACAGGTGGGTAAATTGAGGCCCGAGGAGAGGAATGGACTTGCCGTGGACATTCCAAGAGCCCAGAGGCAACTCAGGCCAAGGTGAGTCTGTCTGTTCTGAATTTCTTAGGTCATTTCTGAATCCAAACAGTAACCAGACAAGCCCATTCTCAGGAGCTCCTCAGCTCCATTCCATGGGGGCTTGGTTACCTGCAACAGGGCCTCAACAGGAGGGTCACAGACTTGCTCATTGCTTCCAAGCAACAGGGAGCTGGCACTGCCCTGCCTCTTGTTGGACTCGCAAACATAAAATCTCAGGCTCTCTCATTGTCACATCTACATTACATAGCACTGACTCTGTGCCAGACACCATTCTTAGTGCTTTGCAAACAGTAATTTATATAGTCCTCATTGACTGGGAAGCTATATTAATTCTGACATTATTCCTGAGCAAAGCATATCCCTCCCTGGGTTCCAGCCCTGTAAACAGGAATGTTTTAAAACTTTGTCTCTCTGAGCCTCAGTTTCTTCATTTGTAAAATGGGACCAAGTCCTGGACCTGTTAGCACTCTGCCCTCTAAGGGCAGAATGGAGAATCAGTGGGTGGAAATTATAGGGAGGCAGATTGTGGCTCAGGGTAGGTAAGACTTTTTCAGCTGAGCTGTTCACAGGAGAGATGGACTGCCTCAGGCAATAGTGAGTTTCCTGTCATTTGAGGCAACAGAGCAGAGCCAAGCAGCCACAGGGGTGTTGCAGAGCTGCCTGGGCCCTGGGCCACCTGCTTTGCTGGTTTTCAAACTGTTCTCGGCAGCAAACCTTGTCGCCCACATTCCCAGGCAGTCACAGAGGTAAAGCTGCTGGGGAAGGGAAGGGGCTTATTAAATGTTTATTGAATCAGTGAATTGGTGGGGACAGCAGAGCCAACCCGAAGGCTTCTGGGAACACAGTATGGAAATCCCTGGTCTGTCCAATTGTTTACTTGTACAGAAGAGGGAACCCACAAGGGGAGTCTTCCACTGCACTCTGCAAAGAAAGCCCCGTGTGGGGACAGAAACAAAACATACCTTAATAGCACTTGACTATATATGCAAAGAATATCTCTGGAAGGATTCTTAACATGGCCTTGCAGGCAGGGAACTGGGGGTGGGGAACCAGGGGGGTGTGGAGGACAACTTTCTACTATACTATACTCTTTTGTTCCTTTTTAATGTTTTAGCGTGGGCAAAACATTACTCATTTTTTTTAAAAAAACACAAATAGAGTAAGTTTATTTAAAAGAAATCCCCATAGGCTGAGAGCCCTGGACCCTGGTGCCCAGGGAGCGGGGACAACATCAGGGCCCAAATGGAATCACAGCTGAGCCTCAGCCAGGCCCAGCAGTGTACCCTGGGCTGCATCTGTGACTCATACACTCACGTCTTGCCCTCCTAGACCCCAAACATTGACCTTCCAGCTAGAAGGGATGCCAAGGCCGTCTAGCATGACATGCCACCACTCTGGGGTGCCCAGGCGTGTCAGAGAATGTGGGTCCCAGAGCTGCTGCCCACCCCTTGTGGAGGTGCCCTCTGCAGCCCTGTGTCCTCTGGCTTGCAGGCTGCCCCTTTCTGGGGATCTCCATTACCCACATTGGGGGCTAACCCTATGGTCCAAGAATATGCCCCATGATTCCAGGTGGGGCTTTATGTGCACATGTCCCACCCTGAAGAGTAGGTGGAGCTTTCGTAAGTTGTCCAAAGGAGTCATTGATCCAAGAACTGAAGAGCCATGGACCAACAGGGGAAACCTCCATTCCTTCCCCCGGTATGAACAGGCCTGACTTGGCCTCCACGCTTCCTGTCCACTCTGTTCATCTCTCTCTGTCACTTGGCAGCCAGGCCACCCTTCCCTGACCAGTGCTCACATGCTCATTCCTTCCTCAGGGTCTTGTCTCAGGCTTTGCCTCTCACCTGACACACCTGCTGCCCCCACACTCATGCCAGTGAGACCCTGCCTGCCCATCCTGCAAGACCCACTGGGTGGCACCTCCTCCAGGGAGCCCTCTCTCCCAATCCTGCCCTCTTAGAAGTCTTAGGACTTCGGGCCTCACCACCAACTGCCACCTGCACCTTGGCCTGTTCCTCAACCAGTGAGAGCATCCACCAGGGGCTGCTGTGAGAGCCAGGGGACAGTGAGGCAAAAGTCCCCTGGGAACTGGGAAAAGCAGCCCGTGTCTCTCGCCCTGAACTCTCTATCCTCTGGGGACACAGAGAGCTACATCACTGCCTGTGGCCTGGAGTCTTTCTCACAGAGTTCCTCGACTAGGCCCTGTGCTAGCCCAACAGGTTCCTTGAACTTGGAAAATAATAGATTTTTCCAAAACTGAATTCTTTTTTTTTTTTTTTTTTTGAGACGGAGTCTCGCTCTGTCGCCCAGGCTGGAGTGCAGTGGCCGGATCTCAGCTCACTGCAAGCTCTGCCTCCTGGGTTCACGCCATTCTCCTGCCTCAGCCTCCCGAGTAGCTGGGATTACAGGCGCCCGCCAACTCACCCGGCTAGTTTTTTGTATTTTTAGTAGAGACAGGGTTTCACCGTATTAGCCAGGATGGTCTCGATCTCCTGACCTCGTGATCCACCCGTCTCGGCCTCCCAAAGTGCTGGGATTACAGGCTTGAGCCACCGTGCCCGGCCTGAATTCTTTTTTTAAAAAAAAGGTTAATGGAGAGTGGGGCAGGCCTGAGGCTAGACCCAGGGCTAGCTGAATGGACCTTTCTGAGTGGAGCAGGAAACGGCATGTAGAGGAGGCTGGATTCCCAGCTGAGAAAGGAGGAGGGAGGATCGCGAGCCAGGCTGCAACTCCAGCTCAGGCCAGAGTGTCTCCAAGTTCCCTTCATACCCCGCTTGCTCTCGGGAGCCACATGGACACCTCCAAATGCCCAGCAGCCCAGGGGCCTTGAGGAACAGGAAAGCGAAGGGACCTAAGGACCAGGAACAGCCTGAAGGGCCCTGGAGTCCATCCACATCAGGAGACACCAGAGGGAAGAACGCTGATGTCCTTCCCTGCTCTGGCCTCCCCATGAGTTCATGAGTAACAGGAGGGTCAGAACATCCGCCTGGCCACAGTGCAGGCCAAGAGGATGACAGGAGATGCCGAGCTGACATCCTTTGGCAGCTGTAAAGCTCTCTGCCCACGAGGGAGGATGAACATCATCGTCGTCATCCTCTCCAGGGCCCCCTGCAGAAGAGACCAGCCTAAGCCTTGCAGAGCCTCATGGAGCAGAGTCAAATGGCTCAAGGTCTGGGTGGAACTAAAGTCCAGCTCCAAGAAAGCTGGGATGAGATGGGTAGAGGATAGGGGGCGGCAGGTCCATGGCTCTGAACCCAAAGATCTGAATCCCCACCCTCCCTACCCCACCAACCCTCCTCAGGGTCCCTGTCACCCCATCCACTCACTGGACCTTTAGAACACCGTTGTGAGCTCAGAGGGGCAGAGAGACTTATTCTATTTTATGGATGAGGAAATGGGCCCAGAGAGAGGCAGCTAATTTTCCACAGCCACACAGCACATCTGTCTTACTTCATAGGGAGCCATTCTCTCAACTCTCAGAAAACAGAGGAGGAAAGGGAGAGACAAAAGAGAAAAAAAGTTGAGCTCCTTTAAACTGAGAACAGCAGCCCTGATCACGCCCTCTGAATCAGAGAAAAAATGAGAGCTTGGCCTCTGCTTCCCCACAGAGCATCCCATCAGTGTGCAGACTCAGCTCGGTTCCCTGAAGTCAGCTCCAGTCCTTTGTTCTCTGGCCCACCCGGGCACCTGCAGACAGGGCCCCTCCTGGGCCTCCGTGTTCTGAGCTGCCACTGAACGAACCTGAACTCTGCTCTGCCCGTTGCAGAGCAATGGATGGAGGCTCCCCAGAGACTGCACTTGGAGTCAGACAACCCCTAATTCCATCCCTGTCAGGGCTGGCCAGGGTCCCCTTCTCCTTTGCCAAGGGTTCTAGACTCTCCTGGGATACAGAGCATCTGATAGGGCAGTGTGAGGTCCAGACTCCTCCCCTTCCCTGGAGCAGCCCAATGTAGCTCCTGCTCCCGCTTAGAGCCCAGGTGACAGGGATGGCCACCTGGTGCAGGCTCCGGGAGACAGGCTGCCCATGACCACTCCCCAGTGACTGAAGTCACAGTGGGGGTCAGGCCACATTTTTTTCCAGGCCTAGCCCCAGCTCCACTACCAACTCGTTGTGTGGCCCAGAAACAGCTGGCTCTCTTCTCTGAGGCTCATTTTCCATCCAGAAGATGAGAGGAAATGACCTCTAAGGGCCCCCTGGGTTTGACACTCTAAATTTCCATTTGCTCATTTAGCTGGGTCCTCCTTCCTGCTGGGGCACCCTCAACCTGTGGCTTCCTCTTTAGATAGGCACCCACCAGTCTCAGATAATTCACCACAGAGATGGCACACTCTGCTCCCTGACTCTCAAGAGGCACCACCTCAAGCCTCATGCATGGCCTCAGGGCCCACAACCACCCAGGCTGCGGAATCCAGCTCCGTGGCGGCAGGGCCAGGAGGTGGGACAGAAGGCCTCTGAAGTCCCCAAGGGAGGGATGCACTTTCTAGCCTCATCTATGGCCTGGGTAGGTGGAATCCACGCCGAGTAAACTCAGCCTCTGGGAAAATCTTCATTTACACAATACTTGGCTGAAGTCACTTCACAAAAGATTCACCATAAAAATCCCCTCCAACAGCCAGCCCCTGAGCACACTGGCTGTCTCCAAAACCATGAGTCCTTGGTGACTTGAGGAGCAACAAAAATTTGCATATAGGTCCAAGTGACTCACTGTGGCATTCAGCCAAGTCACTTCCCCTCTCTGGGTCATTTTCCTAATATGCACACTGCAAGGCTGGCCCAGAGGAGCTGGGGGAATGCAGGTGGCAGGCGGCTCCTAGCACTGAGGTCCTGTGGTTTCCCCTGGCTCCCCGCTCCACCCCAGCATCATGCAGGGAGTTTTGCTCATGTGTGAGGAATGGCCCAGACACACCCGCTGGCAGCACGTGGGTCACTGGGACCAGAGCTCCCTGCTAAGCCCAATGCCAGACCCTGGCCACACTCATCTGCCAAAAACCAGAGCACAGTTGGCCTCAGGCAGCCTAGGGGAACCCAGGCCTCCTGGGAGGGCCAGGCTGCCCTGCGCCCACAGGGATCAGTCAGTTCAGCATGACTGCTGGCCACGTGCTGGCCCTGGGGAGCCCCTGCTGAGCCCGGGGCCCCATCACCAGCTCACCATGCTGACACTGCAGACTAGGCCCTGACCCCAGGCTCACCCTGGCCCCGGGCACAGACCAAAGCCTGGGCACCAACAGCCTTTGCACGGATGTAACCCTGGCCCTGCTCACCGGAGCGGAATGCGGATGGCGATGTAGCGGTCAATGGCGATGGCCAGGAGGCTGAAGATGGAGCTCTGCGTGAGGACCAGGACAAAGCAGGCAATGAAGAGGCAGCCGTGGCAGGCAGCACAGAACCCGGTGCTGATGGTGATGGCAAAGGGGATGGCGAGCACGCCCACTGCGATGTCGGCCGCCGCCAGCGACACCACGAAGTAGTTGGTGACATTCTGTAGGTTGCTGTTGAGCCACACGGCCCAGCACACCAGAACGTTGCCCAGGATGGCCAGCACAGCAATGGCCAGCTCCACTGTGATGTACACCGAGGAGCCCATGATGGGCACGGCCACAGACAGGCAGGCTCAGCACGGACGCGGGCTGGGCCAGCTCACGGTCCATCGCTGCAGCCCAGCCGCCCACCTGGCTCCCAGCCTGGCCCAGGCGGAGGGGCCCAGGCCCCTAAGCCCCTTCCTCACAGGAGCCAAGTGCAGCCCTGCTGGGGTGCTCTCCAAGGGCTTTTTCACAGAGGACTCTGAGTCTCCTGAAACCAGGCCCTCTCCAGGGGTTCTGGCAGCAGCATCATGGCTCAGCCCAGCTTCAGGGTTCCCGAGGCACCTGCAAAGGGACAGCCGATAAGGAGCTGAACCATCTGCAGAGGGCGGGCCCTGCAGAAAGTGCCACCCCTAGCCCCACACCCACCCTGGCCCCCTGAAGACCCTACAGCTTCAGATCCCACCCCACCCACAGGCCAGGTGTTAGCCTGAGGATGGCCCTCAACTCTGCCCAGCCCCATGCCCTGCCCGGTCTGCTGTGGTCATAACCAGGAGGCGAGAGAGGTGGGAATTTGACCCTCACTTTAGAGGACACCCAGAGAAGTCACTGAGCAAGACTGGTTCCCCTGGTCCAATAGAATTCCCACTAAGACTCTCACGCAAACCCCTCCCAAGGAGGCAGCCCCTTCTCCCAGGCTCTGCAGAACGAGTAGCACCATGGCCAGGCGCCTGCCAGGACTCCAGCTCACCCCAGCACTATCTATGGCTCCCTGCATTCCCTGCTCTGCGCACTGGGGTCACGGTGCCTCCCACTCTAAACTCAGGGCCAAGGATCAGCTGCAGTCTGGTTTTTTCCTGGGGGGCCAGGAAACTGTTAAAGTCTGTCACTGTGTTGGCCCCCCATGCTCAGCCTCTTAGGTCTCCTATGGCAGCCTGACCAGTCTCCTGGGTCCTGGATCGTGGCCAGCCCCATGACATTCCGTCCCAGAAAAGCCCCTCCCTTCCCAGGCTCTCCCAGTCCCACCCACCTTCTCTCGCCAGGCCAGCTTCTCAGCCCCCTTGGCCCACTCCATCCCGTCAGCTCTCCCAGGAACTACCAGCACCCACCTAAGGGACACCAGCCACCCTGTGAAAGGACAGGCCAGAGACCCCTGGAGCTCGGATGTGGAAGGATGTGGGGAGCCGCCTGGTCCTTTCTCCCACTGCCGCAGAGGGTAAGCCCTCTCACACTGCGCCCGAACCCGCTGCCTCCAGGTGCCCCCACCAGACAGCTGCAGTCAGGGCCGGGGGCGGTGCTGCAGCTGACTGTGAGCTTCCACTCGGAGGGAGCTGCCTCACCTCCCTCCTCCCACATCCTCTCCCTCACCTGCTCCTCTGCCTGGCTGACACCAGGAATGACTAACTGGAGTTTGGTCCCCGGCAGAAAGCAGGTATGGAACCAGGACTCAGTGAGGGACTCTGGGAAAGAATGCTTTTCTCTTTTGGGCCTCAGTTTCCTCATTGATACGGTGAGGCAGTTGGACCCCAAATGACCTCTAGGGGCTATGCCAGCTCTCACACATGATTCTATGAGAAGGAAATAAACATTTAAAATGGCTCCCCTAGAGTCAAAATGGAATTAACTGACATGCCTCAGAAGCAGAAGTCTTGGTTCCCCAGCAGGCCTGAGCCCAGCCCCAATTCCCAGTGTCCCCCTCAAGCCTGTGAATGGTCTGGGTCCAAACGGACCTCTGCCCATTAAATTGCCCCTCTCCGAGAGCTAAGAGGCCCTCAAATCTACCCCCTCCAGTCTTGAACCCTCATGGGGCCCTGTGAGTGTATGGCCAGCCACCACTGCCTGCCTGGGGACAAGAGGTCAGAGGCTGCCTCTCACGTGGACTCGGGCAACCACATCATCAAGATCTCTTCTCTTTCAGGACATGAGGGACGGAGCAGGATTGGCAACCTGGAGAGAAAGTCACTCCTGGTCCTGAGCCCTGTTCAAAGGGTCAGGCTCCCCTCTACCCCTCTGTCCATGTGACAGAGCTCAAACAGACCCCAACTTTCCCTCCAACTCCAATGCTGTCAGCACCTCAAGTGGCTGGAACAGGATTGGCACAGGCTGCAGCCATACCTGGGACTGGAGGTTCTCCTGCACCCAACAGGCCCTTTTGCGTCTACTAGGAGGCTTGGAATGGAGCATTGACACAGAAGCAGGAGGAGGAAGGAGAGAGCAGAGACCAGAGACCCTGCAAAAACGGAGGGCCTGCAGCAGCTGGAGAGGGCTGAGTCCTCCCAAGCCCCTGCTTTCCATGGGGCACTTGCCAGGCAGCCACTCACAAAGCATGTCGCTGGCAGGGATGCGCCAGACCAGGTCTCCTGGCACCATCTCTGGCCACACTCAAGGAACACAGTTATCCCTGATGCTCCTGGCCTCTCTCCCTGAGCAGTAGTCACCAGGGCCCACCTGACTCATGATAGCTCCTGCCCAATGGGTACAAGTGGAGCTGGTGCTGGGCCCGGGCTGCCTCCCACCCAGGTGCCTGGCCTGTGGTTCCAAGGTGGCCTCCCAGGCCCAGCACCACCAGCAGCAGCAACAGGCCACTGTCCAGTGAGGCTCAGTGGGTCACTGAGGAGCCACCTCTACCCAGGGATCCTGTGTCCCACCATGGCCCTCTCTAGGGCATCTGCATTGAAGGATGCCACAACCTTCTGCCAATCTGACCATCCCAGGCTAGAAAGCTGATGCAGCCCCAGACCACACTCCAGATTCAAGGGCCTTGCTGGGGGCAGACAAGGTGGAACATAGCATGTCTGCCCAGGTGAGGGAGGACTCCCCAGTCCCACCACTCAGAGCCCTGCTGGTGGGGTCATATCATCGGCACCCGCCTTAGGGGCTGGACTGGTGCCATGCCAGCCGGGATGCCTGGGGCCTCTGTTTGGCAAGGCTTCCCTGGCAGCTGTGGGTACCTGCCTGTGTACCCCCATTCTCAGGGTCTTCGCACCTTCTGTGCTGTGGGTCCCCACGCTAAACAGCACTAGATACTGATAACCTTCTTGACTACACTGAAGCCAACTTCTTGCTGCCCACCAGCCTCAGTGAGGGCAACAGACCCCTCTGCCCTGGCCGGCCTCACACGGGGCTAAAGACACCCATGGCTCCTGCTGGCAGGGTCCACACAGGCCACCTCGCTGCCCATCCCCTCCCTCAGCCCCTCCTTAAGCACTCCTGCAGGCTCTCCCAGCTGCTGCCAGCACATCCCGGGTGAGGCTTGCCCGGACCCACAGGCAACTTGGGCCCCTGCCAAGCCAGAATCCACTCTCAGCTGTGCCTTTCTCAGTCCTGAGCAAAGCAGATCGGTGGAGTCAGAGGCACCCTCGGGGCAGGCAGGGGAGGAGTGCGTTCCTCGGGGAAAGGCTGGGAACTACCATAGGCTGGCAAATCGGCCCCGGGCCGGGGCGCCCTGACTTACAGGCTTTGCCTGATTTCTGTGGTGTAAATTCTCCCCTTGTGCCCAGTTTCAAGCTACTAATGTGTCGTGGACCAGAACTGGGGAGCAACAGAGTCAGCTGGCCACGATGCCAGCCACTGCTGAGCTGCCAAACCTTATGCATCCCAGGAGGCACCTGCCTAGAGGTCACGCACTGCACTGGACCCTCAGACACAGCTTGTGCAGTCTGCTTAGGAGCTTGGGAAATGACTGTCATCTGTGATCTTGCTGGTCCCAGGAAACCCATTTTACAGATGAGGAAACTGAGGCCCAAAGGCGTGAAGCGACCTCTCTCAGCCTTACCAAGAGCACTGGAAGGTGGCATAGGGCTGGGGCTGTACCCACAGAGAGCACAGCAGCAGGAAGCCTCCTGGGCCTCCAGCTCCCCTCCCTCAGAAGCCTCCCAGAGTGACAGGAAGGTCGGAGGCCCCAGGGAGGGGATGGGGCCAGGATCTGGCAATTTCCTATCCCTCTCTGTTGGCTCTGTGCATCTAATTAATCCTTCAGTCATCTGTTGCTAACCAGGAGGGGAAATTAAATACTAATAATGTAATACTTCTCTGTGATTGCCCCTTGTTGGGGACAGATCAGAGGGCAGATGCTGCCCCATATAGACAGGGGACACATGCTGTGGAATGTGCATAATGCCTCTTGAAAGAACAGCCTTATAGGATTCCACGAGGTCAGACTCAAAACTGCTACTTGTTGCTGCCTTCCTCCTCACCTTCCCCAACCCGGCCACTTTAATTAAAACTCCATTTAATCAAAACCCACACATCTTCTGGCTCATGTCTTCTGGTTCCTTGTATGTCACACTAGCAAGGCCCTCTGTACACATGCCCAGATGGTGGCTGTACCCCCCAGAGCCTGCTGCACGGAGGTGCCCACCGGCTTCTAGGCAGTGCCCTGCACATCTGCTCCTGAGTGCGGCTAAGGGCAACGTACAGGGCACAGTGCAGGGACTCGGACCTGCTCCAGCCATGCCTGGCCTTTTCCTGGGCTTCAGAATCCCAGCCTTAGAACCCTCCTGCTACTTTCCCATAACAAATGTTTACCACCTCCACCAGGCCTGGCAGCACCCCAACTGCTGGGCCACAGGGAGGTATGCCCCCCACTGCTGTGCCTGGCCCCATTTGGGCCCTGAGCATATGGCAGGGGACCTCAAAGGAGGAAAGGACCCAGGACATTCTTGGGAGATGGCTGCTGCCCTGCGGTTTCAGGCACTGCAGGCCACTCCCTGTCTCCAAAACCTTGGCTCACCTAAGAGGAGTCGCAAATCAATTTCAAAGCGCAAGAGGTAAATGAAGGCTAAGAAAGGCAAGCAACAGAATAAAAAATATGGAGATGAATTCATTCCAGCAGAAAGGAAGGTAATACAGTAATCTAATAATGACTTTAGAGACCTTTAGGATGTCCAAAGATGCAAAGAAAAGAATGGCATCTGTAGACAAGAATGAGAACTTCTGAACCGACTGGCGGAAATGAAACAAGGACAGGTGGATATGAACAAGAAATAATACAAAATCCAGGGACTGAAAAACAGAGGGGCTGAGATAAGGCATGTGGTGGGCTTCAGGCACACACATGGTGGAAGAGGCGACTGGGGATTTGAAGCTAGTGCTGAGGAATTCTCACAGAAATGCCATGAAGAGACCTAGTCTAGGAGGAAATGGTTGAGAGGCATCAGGTAGACTGAGAAGCATCAGCAAGTGGCTTGCGGGAGCTCGGCAGGGGCATGGCAGGTCGTGGGCCCCACTATGACTGGCTTTTGGGGTGGCCCAGGGGGGCCTGGGCATGAACCTCCCACAGCCCAGGGCCCCAGGATCCCCAAACCCTCCCCAAAAACTCATCAGCGCAGGTGCCTTCCTCACTGCCCGGTGGTGACCAGCCACCCAGCATGGGCTCTGCTTCCCTCCTGCCCTCTGGGGCTGCCCGGTGGCCCCTACTTTAGGCGCTGGGTGCAGGCTGGGCCCAGGACCCAGAGAGACGCCTGGCATCCCTCCCCCACAGCCCGGGTGCGGCTGTGGCTCTCTGCTCCTGGTGGCAGGATGTGGGCAAGATGGGGCCAAGACCCAGCTCCCTGCAGCTGGAGGCTAAGGCCCTGAGCCTGCCTCACAGAGCAGCCCCCACATCGCAGCCCTGGGGCCAGCGCTGGGGGCCCCAGCTCCTGCTCCCCACACCCCCATGTGTCCAGGCTAGGGGCCAGGGAGGCCACAGCCCCCCCCCCCCCCCCCCCCGCCTGGGCGCCACTCACCCCCTCATACGAGGCTTCGCCTGACAGCCCTCCTCCGAGGGGCCACACCCCGCACAAAGGTGCTGGGGGCCCACGCTGTGCTGAAAGCAGCCTGGCTGGGGGCGGCTCCTGCTCCATGTCACAGTCCCCGAGGCCCGGGAGAGCTTCCCCTCTGCACGCGGCTGCTCACATGTACACAGGCTGTGGTGAACCACATCACGTCACGTGAAGGATTGGCACCTGCACCTCCCTCAAATGGCGGGCAACACGTACTACGCTGCTGAAGGGGGGACAAGGGAGTGTTTCTAGATGGCCCCGAGGACACAGAGCCCAGTAGTCCTGGGCGGGACCCTGTGGGAGGCTTGAAGGGGCGGTGCTGGGTGCAGGGCCTCAGAATGCCCCAGGGTGTCTGCACTGAGGATGGGAGGGGTGAGGACCGGCTGCTGGGTCCCTGGGCAGGTGTGACAAAGCAGCCCTGGAGGCTGACAGGAGGGCAAGGTGACCAAGCAGAGCCTGGCTACTGCTTCTTCCCCACTGAGCAGCCTCCCCCAGGCTGGCTCAGGGTTTGCAGAGGCCACTGAGGGACCAGAGGTGAGTCCTCCTGTGACACAGGGGCAGACAAACACCAGCCCGGGGCCTCTGGGGAGAAATCTCCTGCCCATACGCCAGAGGAGACACCAAGTGACACCATCGGCCTCCCTCTGCTTGGCCAGCTCCGGCAGCCTCTCCACCAGGTGACGGCCGATACCAAAGACCGGGGCTGCAGCGGCACATCTGAGGGGTGGGGCATAGAAGGGCAGCAGCAGCAGCCCCTGCCCAGTGACTCCTGGAACAGGCCTCCCCTGTGGGGGGTGGGGGGTGTGGTGAGAGAATCCCCATGGCAACTCACAGAAGCAGCATCTGGGTGGGACTTGGAGGAGAAGGTGAAGGGAGAGAGGTAGCGAGAGATTCTAGCAGAGAAAATGCCTGCGGAGGCCCGAAGCCAGGGTCCTGCCTTCCCTGGGCTCCCATCGCCCCCTGTGCTGGGATAAGGGGCAGCTGCTCTCCTGCTCCTCCCTCCACCTGATCCTCCCCAGTCCCTGGCCAGATCCACAGAGTCCAGGCTACAGGGGCCCGGGCCTCCCTCTCTGCCACGAAACTGCCTCTTCCCACCACCCAGAGTCCCAGGCCCTGCGCAGGAGGTGGGCAGTCGTGTGGGGGCTCCTCTCTCCACCCCAGCTCCATTCCCTTCCCCATCTGGGCTCCTCTGCTCCTTTCAACCTCTGGACCACCCACCTCCTAGGACAAGCCCCTCCTGCCAATGGCCCAGACCCTTCTCCTGGGAGCTAGAACCCTCCCTTTCACCAGCTCAGCTCCTGCCTGTGTGGTCTCCTCTCCACAGCATCCTCACCACACACGCCCTAAATCCCCTCAGCCTATGCTTCCCGCCTTCATTCATCCATCCATCCGTCTGTCTGTCCTTCCTCTGCTCTCCTGCGTGCTCAGGAACCAGTTTGCACTGCAATAGACAAGACAGACCCCGCAAACACGGTTGGGAAGGCAATTCTAGCTCATTTGGGGTTAGGTGGCTCAGGAATTAGGTCGGTGAGAGGTACTAAGACCTTCTTTGGGTGTCAGGACACAACTGAGAGCCACCAGGGGCTGTGGTCCCACACGGCAGGCACTGCCCAGGCCTCACCTGGACTTTGCAGGACGTGATGCCTTCAAGACACATGCTGGCTCCCAGGCCAACTGCCATTCACGTGTCCCTCTGCCAACAGCAATCCCTGTGGTGTCCACTGACCCTCAAGCCTAATACCCTCCCTCCCAGGTTCCCCAGCTCCAGCACACATCCCTAACTGGCCCTGTGGTCTGCCCTAAACCTTCCCCCACTCGCCCCCAAGCCAAGGCCTTTCCACATTAGGCATTGCTAAGATCATCATCCTTGTTCTACAGATGAGATATCAGATTCCAGGGGACAGTGACCTGCCCAGTGAGTGGGTCAAGAAGGCAAGACCAGAACCCAGACAAGGGCACTGAAATCTCCAGTCCCTCGGGTTGCCCATAAGGCAGTCATTGCCATTGATCGCCCTCCTCGGTCGCGGACTCCTGGAGGCAGGAAGCAGGGCATATTTGGGGATCTGTACTTCACAGGCCAATATGGGAAGAAGCCCAGCACAGCCCTGAGACCAGCCAGGTCAGCCTGGCCCAAGGCCCGCCTCCGGTCAGAGGTGACTGGGCTGTCCCTAGCTTCCTGAGGCAAGGAGCAGGAAAGCTCACAGCTCAGCCAGCTCAGCACTGGGTGAACAGGGGACGCAGATGGAGGAGTAGTGGCTGGGATTTGCCTGAGAAACACTAGGACTACGGAGAGCCTAGGAAACCCCAAAAAGCAAGCGCAGAACAAGGAGGGACTGACACCATGGCCATGGACTAGCCTGTGAGGCGCCCCTGCCATGGATCTGCCAGGATGGGGGCTGGGGGATGCTGCCCACAGGGCCCGGCCTTCCCAGCCCCACCCAAGGCCTCCAGGAGCGACCAAAGCAGGGCCAGTGAGGAAGCCCCACCCAGCAATAGCGTCCCAGGCCCGCGGTTCTCCACAGAACCCTCCACCACGGTCTCCAGGGCTGGGGCGCCCCGGGGCAGCCCTGGCCCGTTAGGTAGTTTCGGCAGAGTGCCCCGCCGGGGAACCCAGGGGGAGCCGACAACAGAGGCAGAGTGGAGGCGACCTGAGCACCTGGCAGGAGAGAAGAGGGCCCTGTTGCGGGCACAGCCCAGGAGAGGAGGTGCCTCAGGATGGGGACGGAGGGCTGGCTTGACCTGCGGCCCACCCTCCAACGAGGGCCACAAACACCTGCTCCTCTTTGCAGCGCCCAGACTCCCCCAGCCTAGGACCCAGCCCTGGGTCTCCCTCTTCCTCCCATGGTACAGTCGGGGCAACTAAAGTCTGAGTGCGGGACACAAGGATCTCAGCTCTGCCGGCCCGCGGCCTCCTCCTCAAGCCCTTGGGCCGCCTTGCGCCAAATCCCTCGAGAGCCGCCACCATTCCCGCCATTCCTACCTTCGCTGCGGGCAGCCAGGCAGACAGCCGGGGCCAGTCCGAGGCGCGCGCCCACCCCCGCCCGTCCCCCGTCGTCTCCTGGGTCCCCCAAACCCAGTTCCCGCCACCACTGTCCAAGGAACGCGCCCGCGCTCGGCCCAGCGTTCCCGACTCCCCCTTTCTCAGCGCGCCCCGGGCGCTCGGGTGCCTCTGCCCGCGCCACACCTTCCCGGGGAACCGGTATCCGCCCGGCTCCTCCACCTGGGGATCCTCCCTCGCCCCGGGGTCCGGTCCGCCAGCCCTCAGAAAGCGCCTCTACGCCCCCTGCCCATTCCCGCTGGAGGAGCTCCTGGAAGGTTCATCGCGCGCGGGGCCGGTCTGCAGCGCACGGACGGACGGACGGACGGACGGACGGACGGACGCTCCCCGCCCGCTACCTGCGGCTCCGCACCCCGCGCTGCCCCGGCCGCCGCACTTGCCTTCCCTCCCCGCCTACCCCCGCGCGCCTTCCGCTGCAGTTTGGGACGGCTCGGAGGGTCCCGCACGCGGCGCCGCAACTGCGCCTGGGGCGTGACTGTGCCTGGGCCCTTCACGGGCCGTGCGGGCGGCCAACGCGGGGCAGGACTCGGACCCCGCGCCGGGTAACTGGTTTCCGGGCGGCGGGAAAGGAACCTTGAGGGGAGCAGAACTCCAGCCTCCCAGTCCTCCCGGGCCTACACCCCCGACGGCCCCACGCCGCCCGGCCGCCAGACCCGGACTCCCGGCACCCCGCACTCCGGACCCGGCACCCAGGACCCCTCACCCCGGACCTAGGACCCCGGCTGACCTGCGGCTCGCACGCCGGCTCCCGCTGTCTCGGCGGCCGCTGGGTCTCCGGCTCCGGCCGCGCCGCTCACGGGCGCCCCCTGCAGGCAGCTTTGAGACCCGCGCTGCCCCCGCCCCGCCCCGCTGCGCGGAGAAACCGAGGCCGGAGGGGGAGTCGAGGCATCGGCCCCCGAGGCCCGCAGGGGATCCTGGAAGGACGAGCCCGCAGGTGTCCCTGTCAGGACGAGGCCGCGACGGGCCTGGACCGCGCCACATCCCCCGCCCGCAGCCCTCCAGCGCGCTTCTCCCGGTCTCGTATCCGTCCCGCCGCCTCCTCAGCGCCACACCCCCCTCCCTTCCAAGAGTCTTCGGGCCTGGGAGTCCCCTTCCCCGCCCCTTGGAGCGCTCCGGGTCCCACCCCCACACTCCCTTTTTTCTTTCTTTTTTTTTTTTTATTTTGAGACGGACTCTTGGTCTGTAGCCCAGGCCGGAGTGCAGTGGCGCGATCTCGGCTCACTACAACCTCTACCTCCCGGGTTCGAACGATTCTCCTGCCTCAGCCTCCTGAGTAGCTGGGATTACAGGCGCCCGCCACCACGCCCGGCTAATTTTTGTATTTTTTAGTACAGACAGGGTTTCACCATATTGGTAAGGCTGGTCTCGACATCCTGACCTCAGGTGATCCACCCGCCTCGGCCTCCCAAAGTGCTAGGATTACAGGCGTGAGCCACCGGGCCCAGCCTCCCTCTTTTTTAAGAAGCCCCCAATGCCAGCCGGGCGCGGTGACTCACGCCTGTAATCCCAGCACTTTGGGAGGCGGAGGTGGGCGGATCACGAGGTCAGGAGACCATCCTGGCTAACAAGGTGAAACCCTGTCTCTACTAAAAATGGGCGTGGTAGCATGCACTTGTAGTCCCAGCTACTCGGGAGGCTGAGGCAAGAGAATCACTTGAACCCGGGAGGCGAAGGTTGCAGTGAGACGAGATCGTACACTGCACTCCAGCCTGGGAGGCAGAGCGAGACTCTGTCTCAAATAAATAAATAAGAAGAAGTCTTCACTGCCGCCGCCTCTGGATCCATGCCCCTGTGTCACCCCTTCCCTAGTGTCCAGCTGTGCCCAGTGCCCGCTCCTCCTCAAATCTTTCCATGGCTCCCTAGGTCCTGAGGGATAAAGGCCAGCCTCCTGAACACGGCATTCAAGGCCCTGCCTGACCTTTGTTCGGCTCCCCACCTTTAGCCCTGCCCTTCCTTAGCCTGGCCCAGGGGCTGGTCTTGACAACAGCTGGTATCTCAGTTCAAAGATGCGTCCCCAATTTCCATTGCCCCCTCTGCCTCTCCCCATCCCAGACTCTGGGCCAGAGACCCCCTTGTTCTTCCAGCTCCTAGTGCCCAGTGTGGCCCTGATCCTCCCCCCTTCCCTGATCAAGGAGGCAGAGAGTCCTGTCTGCACCACAGACTAACTGGGAATTTTAGAGCCTGAGGCTGGGAATTCTCCCACGCCCCCCCCCCCACCTGCCTGTTTTCTGGAGGCTTCCAATTGGGAACAGCTTCATGTCCAGCCCTCCAAGCTGTCCAAGGGAACCCGCCTTCTACCCTTGCACCTGAAGGGATGTAGACTAATCCCAATTTTGTTCACGACCGGACAGGCTATGTCAGACAGCCGGGGTATTGGTGGCCAAAGGCTTTTGGGAATTCTTGCATTCTAGAACCTCTGGGGACCAGTGGGGCCCTGGCTAGAGGCCCAGGGTGGAGGGGCTTGCCCAAGGCCAGGCTGGACCCTAAGGCTGAAGGCAGACTGGGGGCACGATCTCTATCACAGCAGCCACCACTCACTGCAGGGAGGAGAGGGTGGGTGGGAAGTGGGCACACAGGCACCTGGCCAGTGTGTTGGGAGGAGCATGAGGCCCATGGCAGTGACCATTGCTTGCCCAGATGCAGCCTTGAGCATCTGGTAGCCTCCCTGGTGTATTCCTGGGATCAAAGCCTGGGCCCCCGTTCCCATTCAGCTAGCCCAGCTCTCCTGGTCCTTGTGTTCCCTAATGTCCAGTGGGGCCCTCGCAAGGCGGAGGAGGAAACCCTGGGATGTGTGGGGACCCAGATAGCTTGAGTTAAACTCCGAAGGGCGAGACCCACATGAGACTCTTGGGGTGCTGTCCCCAGGTCTTTCCAAAGAGACCTAGCCCTGGTGCCCCCCCCCCATCCTGGCCTTTGCTGACTCTCTATTCAAAGGAGCTCGCCTGCCCTCCTTCTCCCATGGCCCTGGCTTTCCTTAGTGGAGGAGCTCCCCCTCCAGGTGGGGACATCGCCCTGGGGCCAGCAGCTTGGGCTTTCCTGCAGACCTTCCAGGACCCATATCCTCACTGTAAAATGAGTGTCTTGTGTCTGTCCTGCCCCCTCCTGGAGGTTAAGTCAAACCACAAGGTAGGGGTGAGGGATGCTGATGGCCATGGGGCCCTCCCCTGCCCCCATCCTTGGCTCCCCATCCTTACTTCTGGGGCTCCCCATGAGGTAAAACCTCTCCTGTAGTGGAGATAAACCCCTCCCGCCCACACCTGATGGACCCAGAGTCATTCAAGCCCTTACTCAGCAAACATGCACGGAGCGTCCTGAGTCTTCCTGAGGGGCTCAGGTGGCTCACGAGGCAGAAACCAGCTCTCAGCTGATTCTGAGGGTCTGTCTTGTCCCCCAGTGTGGACCCCAATGACTCCTCTGCCATTCCCATCCTGGGGCCCGCAACCTTCCTGTGTGGACCTTCCCATGCATGGTCTAGCCACGTGCACGCCAGTCCCACAGCAGGCGGGGCGCAGCTGCAACGTCCTCACGCAGGAAGTGATGACTTTGTTCTAAAGTTGGTCCTCAGGGTCACAGTGCCAAAGCCCTTAACATGCACCTCTAGGGCTCAAGGGGCAGTTCATTCCTCAGCACTGGTGCCAGTGGAACTGTGTCCTGAGACCGGGGATGGTCA